ACTGAGGCAAGTTCAGCCAAGGGTATGAGATGAGGAAGGCAGCAGTTCTGGAGAAAAAAGAGGGAAGCATGAATCAGTGATGCTACGTGACTGCAGAAGTCAACAGCTATTCCAGGGAGGGGACTCATTTGTCTTGCTTTTCAAGGGGTCAGACCTCAGCTGGGGCTCTGCATCAAGCTTTGAGCATTGTAATGGGAAAAGGTTAGGGACAACTGGACAGCTGCTAAATAAGACTGGCTACTATTAACACTTTAGAAAGCATGACCTAAAAGGAAAAAAAAAGAGAAAAGAAATTGGAAGTAAGTAGCATCTGATCTTCTACAGATAGGACAAAAAACTGACTTAAATCACACCAAGGGAATTTTGGATTGAGTATTAAGACAGCTTTGCTAGGAGTGAGGCTGCAGAAGCACTGGGGTGAATTGTAAGGCACTGGGGAAAAGCAGGGGCTGTAGGAGCAGGCTGAGCATCCATGTAGAAGAAACTGAGCTAAGGGTCCTCTCAGTATCCCATCCATCCCTGTTTTCTGTCACCTTGCTAATTGATCCTTGCTTGCATTGCACTCAGCCCTGAGGCAAAGCAGAGGTGCCCAGGTGCTGGCATTTGAAAGGTCTAAGACAGCAAGAATTTAAAAACTTAAGTGGTAAAGAAACAGGATGTGAAAGTAGCATCATCCAAGAGATGAGCACAGAAAGGTCCTTGTTCTCAAGGATCCTGCACACAAGAGATGTATTTGTTTGCTTCTTTCTGCCACGCATTGACTCTATCACAAAACATGATTGAGAAAACCCCTTTCCCTGCTCACATTGTTATGAATGAGTTACTGTCCTGGACATTTTGCAACACGCTGATTTTTGCTGTGGTGAAATGGAGCAGTTGTGCAAGTCTGCAGCTGTCAAAGCCATAATCTGTGCAGCTTTAGAGCTGACAGTGGAAAGCAAAGCGTGCAGAATAGGGAGGTGACCCAGACCCCACAGAACATCACCAGCTGTTTCTCCCAAACAAAGTCAGCATCAGTTTTCAGAGGATTCCCTGGCTCCCAGCTTCTTTGTCTGCAACCAGCATCTGCTGCAGGAGATGGGCAGAACAATGCCAAATATAGGCTTCTATGTGTCACTACACACTGTTATACAGCAATACAAGTCAATATTTTCCTGATCAATCTGGAAAAAAATAATTGCTATCAGCAGAACCAACAGATCTCAGTTCTACTGGACGTTTTTTGGAATTTTAGGTGCCTGTGTGTTTTTGAGGAAGGAGTCTTAGAAGAAGTTATTTATATAAAGAAAATATTTGAGAACGACACATTCAAAAAATGAAAAGTGACAATGCTTCGGCCAGAATTTGTCAGGATAAATTTTTCTCCAGTTTGGAGGCAGAAATCCCCCCACCAGCTTGGCAATTTCAGAGCAATTCAGTCAGCCTGAACTGAACCACTTTGGTGACAAAAAGGGAAAGGTCTCGGTTTTACTTGGTGTCATGTACAGCATGAAGCTGTGACAGGGGAGGGTCAAGTTGGGTGTCAGGTAAAAGTTCTTCTTCAGAGGGCAGTGGGCATGGAGCAGGCTGCCTAGGGCCATAATTCAGGGAGCGTTTGGACAGTGCTCTCAGACATAGAATTTTGGGTGTTTCTGTTTGGAGCTGAGAGTTGGACTCAGTCATCTTTGTGGGTCCCCTCTAAATAGAGACATTCTGTCTGAGCTTTGTTTCCATTCTCACCTTCCCCTAACAGCTGTGGCACTGACATCTGCGTGCATGGGGCAAGGCTTCCCAGCAGCCCCACCAAAGGCCTGAGCTGCTGGTGGGCTCAATGCCCTCGATCCTCAGGCCGAGGCTCATTCTTGCTACTGATGTACTCTGTTGGAACTGAAGCTTCCTCCTCATGCTCAAGCTTGATTCATCCAGATCATCTGTAGGAGGAAAAAGGTTTCCACAAGAGTAGGTGTAGCAGCTTTGCAGCCAATAATGGCCACCATCCCAATGCTGAGGAGCTGCCATTGTGGCACGGGTGAAAAAAATCCCTTAGGACAGCTGTCTAGGGCTGAACAAGTGTGCTCTGCAAGAACTGAGAACTTGACAATGCTATTTGTCTTGTGGCAAGATTCACTTTGGCCATGGCCTCTGCTGTGAGGTTTGGAGCTCCATGTTACTGTCATGTGGAGGTCACCTTTGGGCTGAGAAGTCCTTGGGTAGACAAAGTGCTGCACGTTTTTTTTCCCCACTGAAGGTATCGCTGTAACAGAAGATAAAGCAGCAGAAACCGTAACTTTGTGGTGGATGTGTTAAATAAACACAAGCGGTGTTGTGGTAACAACGGCAGCAGGCGGCAAATAAAGGGGAAGTGTGGCACAGAGCCTCAAGGTGTGATGTTCCCCAGTGTCCACATGAAAACTTCACCTCTGCTACCCAACCATCAGGAGATGAGCTGGGACACTCTTCAAATGGTGACATTTTCCCTTCAATTCTAGCCTGGCTGGTGGCTGAGGAGCCAGCACACTGGTGGTGTCACCAAAGCAGTGATGCCACACGGCTCTTGCTCTGCAATACTGGGTGCATGGAGCATGGCATGTGGGTGCCACATCAGACTGGCCACGGGCTGTATCAGGGAGATACTGACAGCCAGTTGCCTCCCTGGGCTCAGGTCTGTCATTGCTGTAGCATATTTCTGTCTCACAGGAAAGCCCACAAGAGAGGAGGTACAAAAAATGGTAGTAGCATTTAGAGTGAGAGAGATGCTGAAAGGCAGCTGCTGGGGTATCTGGAGAAGAGCTCTCAGAGGGGGTTCAGGCAGGTTCTAAACAACCAGATGAGAATCAGGTCTGCCCTGTGGTTCCTACCAGGCTCGTTGGTAGCACCCTGGCCCTCTCGTACTTCCTGCAAGGGGACATACTCCCCAGACCTCTGCCCCGCAGCTTCCTGCTCCCTGCTTTCTATCTGGTTTCATCCAGCACTTCGAAATCTGACCTTGAACTTTTTGTTTCACAGAATAATATAATCATTAAGGCTGGAAAAGATCTCTAAGATCACCTAGTCCAATCTGTCAGCCCACCCCCACCATGCCCACTGACCACAACCATCAGTACCACATCCACACCCTTGAACTCTTCCAAGGACAGTGACTGCTCCACCTCCCCGGGCAGCCTGTGCGACTGCCTCACTACTCTTTCCTAGAAGAAATTTTTCCAAATATCCTACCTGACATCTTACTTATCTTACTGCTTCTGCTCACTTACTGCACTTTCTGCTTTCCTATCCTCCTCAAATGAACATCAAAGGGCTGTCATCAGTTGGGTAGGAAAATCCTGCTTGCCAGCATAGCCAACACCACTCAAATGCTAAAAAAGTATCTGGGAAGATATAGGTTGTATTGGAAACACATCTTCCCCATCTCCTTCCAGATACCCTCTTCCAAGCTTTCCAGTGGCTCTCAAAAAAGCCCCCACATACCCTCTCCCCATTACCAGATCATCAATACCCTTGCCAGTGCAGTCCTCTCTGATGTGCCCAAAGCTGTCCCTCTGTCACTGCAGTTGCCAGGCTCCTTCACTTGCAGTTTCTCTTTTTTCCATGTTCAATGAAGCTCTTCCCCTTTCTTTCAAGGTCCTGGACCTCTTTCCCCTCTATACTGTACAAGCAACATCTCTTCTGACATTTCTCTGCTGTCCCACATCATGACACATTTTCTTCTGAGCACGTACAACAGAACTACATTACACTGTACAGTGTGTCTGTAACAGTGGGACATACTATCATTATTAATCACTAAATTAAAATGTAAGTAAGAGAGAGAAGAAGGTAAAATCAAGTTCTACTCCAACAACATTCCAGAAATTAATTCTACAAAATACACAAAAAAATAATATAATTGCATAAAATAAAGAATAGGAGCTAAGCGATAGTACCTGGTAAATGGGTGATGTTGCGTAGTCGGCAGCACTGTGAACACCTCATGGGGCAACTCTGGTCCTTGTGACCATGCTCTTGACTCCACCAGGTCCTCTGTTAGGCTGCTTCTTTTATCTCCCAGCCCATTTTCTCACTTTTACTTCATCTGTCGATAGAATTTAGTTCTACTCTTTGTGACTGCCTTTCGTTGCATGTTCATACAACAGTCTACACACTGGAAGGCTACGTGGGGCTGAAGCCGCTGGCCACTGCTGAAGACTGGGTTCTAGCATTAATGATAGTCACGTTCTGGAGCTGCCACATACTTCTCTGGGGCTCCAGGCAAATCTTTTGAGTTCTCTGTAAATGAGGAAAATTGCTGAGAGTAATGGATGAAAAGAGTATCATTCGGCTGCGTAACAGAGCACTACCATAATTTATAGTTTTACATAAAGCATAAAATTATTTCAAGTGATTGTGTAAAATAAAAATTGTCAAGCCTGCCCTTGTTCCACCATTTCATCTCTGACCATGTGTCCCAAATGAACCAAAATACACTTCAAGAAATTCCAGGGGAGCAAAGAAACTCTACAATGTCCCCAGTTGAACACAGGATGCTTAAGATGATTGCAAAGATGCAGAGGCAACTGTCAGTTCTCGTTTTGCTCACAGGTTGTACACTACTGATAGGAAGGGACTTAATCAGTCTGCAGTATGCAGGTTGGTATTAGCAGAAGGAAAAGAAAAACTAAAATATGCTTCTTGGAAATAACGTCTGTTTCTGTAAGAAGCTGCACAATTATCGAGTTTAATGGATCTATGCAAATTTGTGAGCGTCCAGCACTTGGTGCATGCAGTGATCACGTAACGCAGACGTGATCGCGTGCAGACATCTCCACTTGGCAATTTTTTGTTTAAATTAGGGGTGGCTGCAAGGAAAGTTCTGCTAAAGGGAGCACCTCTTACTGTGACACCTTTACTGCCTTCACAAAGAGTCGTATTTGATTTTTGTTTTGCAGCATATCTTTTTGAGCCCTCTCACCTTTTCCTGTTTACTGCAGCTTCAAGCCCTTCACTTTGTCTCAAAGCCTTCTCTGTAACTGGCAGCTGCCCATCCAGCACCCACTATCACCAAATCTCCCCACCAGAATAGACCTTGTGAGAACTTGTGAGTCTGAAAGAGGACGAGGACAGAAGAAGGGAGCAGCGCCGTCTAAGATCCTGAAGGCTTCTTGCTGCCCAAGGTAGAGCCCATTCTCTTTTAACCTGCTGCTCTTGAAAGTAATGGGTGAGCTTTGATAACCAGGGGAAGGGACCTGCATTGGTTGTGCCTCTCTTGATGCCCTCCGTAAAGCTGCTTTTAGCACTTGATTTCTTTGGCCAACTAATAGGGAGAGGGGAGAAAGGGGAAGTGTTGTTCGTTGATTGGGAACATACAAAGGTATTGGCCATGGGAAGGCAGAGTTAAGTCTGAAGTGGAGCACCTCCAGGCTCTGTTCAGCCCAGTAGAATCACTTGTGGATGTTCCCTAAGTCAGGTGTGTCCTATCTATCTATCTATCTATCTGTCTGCACATCAGAAGTATCTTATCTACATATCTCTATATGACTGCATACATATAGACCCTTAACTCAGTATTTCCATTACATTTTGATAATTTCTGAGTTTGAGTTGCTGAACCTATGGTCTGCTCTCAATGTGTCCCTGACAGGTAGCTAAGAAGCATGAACCACTGCCGGACTGTTCACAGACACAGCATGTCAGGGTTGCACATGAGATAAATAACATTAGCAGTAAATATTTTCTCAAAATGCCGTAAGCAGCCATTATCTAATGACTCAATTTCACAAAATATAGTGTGAAAACCAACCTGAAATTAATAATACCGGTTCCTTACCTGAAAGCTGAATACGGGAAAGAATTATACTGCCAAGGCAGATTGCAGCCCTGCTTTCTCTCACTGCTTGGTGATTCCTGAGCAACGAGCTGCGCAGGGTTGAGGTATTTGTAAGAAGTTTCTCCATGCTGCATGTACTGATTGACTTTGGCTGATGGAGGCCTGGAACCACAAAGCAGCTGGGGCAGGTCTGGAGTACAGGGGGAGTTCCGATTGCAGCCCCACTGTGCCACATGTGTGGGTACGCCCACTTCCCTGCACCTGCTCTGCATTTAATGAATTAATTGCTGTCATTTGCATTACTACTGCTGCATTATGATAATTATTATTACACGTGATGCTTCTTTCCATCAGACTGTTTCAAGCTCTTTAGAGGTAGGATCAACCAGCATGACAGCACAACACAGGTGAAGGGCACAACAAACATGTACATACCCTAGCAGGGACAAGCCAAACTCATCCAAAAAATTGTCTTCCGAAAGAACCTTACTTCTTAAAATGTGAACACTTCACTCTGCCAACCATACCTTTTTTATGGTGGTCATGAAGTGGCATCTGAAAAAAAAAAAAGCAAAAAAGAGTTGCTTAAGTGCTGACTCACTTTTGGAAAGAACCTCAAACTACTTAAAAGTGGTATTCACTGCAATTCTTCAGAAATGACAAAGTGAGGAAGCTCCCTCCCTCCCCCTCAAATTCTGCTGGTGTTCTTTAAACTTGAAAGCAGAGTCTTGGCAAAAAAAGATGGAGCAACAAACCTCTGTACTCTACCAGCAGGCACAGCCAGCCCTCCCTGATGGCACCTGGCTGCAGCAACCCTGGGCTCAACACTGCACATTGTTGCCTGTTTCTTACAGGTGATCCTGAACCTATCCACAGCAAACCAGCCTATGTGCTGTTACTTGGCCCGGAGCTGCTCAGTTGGGAACATGGACATGCTGCTGGGTGATGTCTCCTGTTGGTTGACTTTTATAAGGCTCTTCATGCTATGGGCAAAATGTTTCCTCACCCAAGGGGGTAAAAGGAAATCCAAACCTTTAGATTAGGAGCACATTTTGCAGTCTCTCTCTGCCCAGAGGCTGACTCACAGGCTCAATATGGCACAGAGGAAGAAGCCAACAGGGAGACCCATACCCAGACCCTTTACCTCTTGTTCTTTCCTTCACAGAAGTCCAAGATGAATCCCACAGATCACTTCCTAAGCACAACAGAGTATGACTATGGATATGATGAAAACACCGCTCCTTGCAATGAAGGAAACGGCTTTCCCAGGTTTAAATCTCTCCTCCTCCCAATTCTTTACTGCCTTGTGTTTGTCTTCTGCCTTCTGGGAAACTCATTGGTCCTCTGGATCCTCCTGACTAGAAAGAGGCTGATGACAATGACTGATATCTGCCTGCTGAACCTCGCAGCTTCTGATCTCCTCTTCATTGTGCCTCTCCCTTTCCAAGCATACTACGCTTCGGATCAGTGGGTTTTTGGCAATGCGATGTGCAAGATAATGGCTGGCATTTATTACACGGGTTTTTACAGCAGTATTTTCTTTATAACTCTGATGAGCATTGACAGGTACATAGCAATTGTCCATGCTGTCTACGCCATGAAGATACGGACGGCCTCTTGTGGCACAGTGATCAGCTTAGTCCTGTGGTCGGTGGCTAGCTTGGCTTCTGTACCCAACATCGTGTTCAACCAGCAGCTGGAAATTGAGCAGTCTGTGCAGTGTGTCCCCATGTATCCCCCTGGCAACAATATCTGGAAGGTTACAATTCAGTTTTCTGCCAATATCTTGGGTCTCTTGATTCCCCTTAGCATCCTCATCCACTGCTATGCCCAGATCCTAAGAAACCTGCAAAAATGCAAAAATCAGAACAAGATCAAGGCGATCAAGATGATTTTCATCATTGTCATTGTTTTCTTCCTCTTCTGGACCCCCTTCAACATTGTGCTCTTCTTGGACTCTCTGCAGAGCCTGCTCATCATTGACAACTGCCAGGCCAGCAGCCAGATCGCCTTGGCGCTGCAGCTCACAGAAACCATTTCCTTCATCCACTGCTGCCTCAACCCTGTGATCTATGCCTTTGCTGGGGTAACGTTCAAGGCCCACCTGAAAGGGCTACTTCAACCCTGTGCCCGTGTCCTCTGGAGCCCTACCAGAAGCTCTGGGGTCACTCAGTCATCTTTGGTGCCCAGCCAGATCTCTGGCTGCTCTGACAGTGCTGGGGTGCTCTAAGCCCACCCGGTTGCAGTCCTTAGAGCAAGTGGCTGCCCTGAGCCCCGCAGGCTGCCTTGTGTGCTCAGTGTCCTCATGGGATGACCCTGTATGTCCTTTCAGGATGTGCTGTGAAATGCTACATGGTGACCAGCTTTCAAAGAACACTGGTGTAAAAGAGCAACCCTACACACTGGCCAACGGGGTAATTTTTAATTAGGCTTTAGAGTTCTTGCAGTATATTTCAGCAAACATATTGCTTCTTCTCCAGCTTGTTTTCTCCCCCAGTGCAACCATTGCTTCTGCCTCGCCCCAACTATACTCTGCCTTGTGGAAGCTGTTTCCTGCATGTTCATGCTTACCTGGGACAGGGGTGGTACACTCCTCTGAGAGGTGGGCAACAAGTACAGAATGGCTTCATGCTGCAAAGAGGGACCAGTGATGGTCCTTCCTGTGCCTCATCTCTCAGATAAAGAGGCCTTCTGCTTGGGACTCTGCCACGTTGCTTTGGTATGCTGCTGCCCACAGCAGCTTCTGGTGGCCACATCTTTGAAGACAGCAAAACAACACTGCCATGTGCCCCTATACCACCAATGCACAGAGCTATACTCTTGAATACAACCCCATCAAAGCAGCCTGGCCCTGTGTCACCTCTGGAGATGTGGGGCCTCCAACCCCTTGCCCCCAGGGTTTGCAGTTCAGTGTAAATGTCACGGAACGGCACATAGCAGATAAGCTCTATCACTTCTTCTGGTATTTTATTTTTTGCCTTTTTATAAATGCTCAATTTGAATAAATATTTTAATTGCATCTTTGTATGCCTCAGCTACTGAAAGCTTTTCTGATGACTCATAAGTTTAGATGAAGACCAAGAAAGGATGCTGTAACTGATTTTTGACATAGTATCCTCCAAAATGCATCTGATGGAATTCAGAGGTGCCCTTGAAGTTTTCAGCAAGGTCAGTCTCATCTCCAGTTCCCTGCTGAGCAAAATTTGCTTTCAAAATACCAGTAAAAATTCACAGTGGAAAAAATGTCATTTAGATTGAAGTAATAATACTGTGAACAAAGATTTTAAACTTAAACAAGTTCAAGTTTTCTAAACTGTGAGAAAAACACACCCTGAATGTCTTCAAAGACTGTATTTTCTAGATCAATAAAAATACCCTGTTGAAGCTTTCCTCTTGAAAACATAACTGTTGTTTTGTACTCCCTAAGAATTTAAAAAACCTTTATAACTTCAGTGCCAGAGGGTTCTTGCCATTAGTTACTTAGTGTACAAAACATTCCTTTCACTTATGACCAACAGTACAATTAACGTTTGATTGTTTTATTCCTCAAAGGGTAAGAAATTCACTGCCTCTTCATTATCGTATTTTTACTTACCAGAAAACTTCCAGGTATGTGTAAACAAAGTTCTCTCTTTACATATTGCTGTGGTTTTTGTACTGCACAGACACTTTGATGTTTAGAAAGATACCTAGGCCAGCATCAGGCCAGATTCCTTTCCCCTGTGGTCAGAATTTTGCACTATTTCTGTTTGAAGTGTTCTGTGCCATTTACTACCTCACCAACTGATACTTCAGATAAAAATGGAAGGAAGAATAGTTTTGTTTTTTTTTTTTTTTTTTTTTTAAATATATTCCTTTTGAGAAAAAGGGAAGAAGGAAATTTGTTTCTGGCCAGTTCTCACACAGTGACCACTTCCCAATGAGCTGCTTCATGCATCTCAGATGGCACAAATGCTGTCTGTTGGAGCCAGCTCTCCTGGCTGCAGGGAAGGACACCCACAGTGCTGATCAAATCAGGGGTGTGGTTCCATCCATGCTGCATACAACTTACAGCCCAATGGAGTTGCCTTCATGATACAAAGTCCCCTTAGTTTTTGTCCTGCACTTCCAAGGCCTCCAGACTTCAAGGAAGTGATCATTTCATACATAACAGGTTTGAGGCCAGCACAAAGCAAAGACTGCTTTTAGCTAGCAATGGTATTCAAAGACCCTCTGGCTTTATACTGTGGGATTAAATCTTATTTGCAATCTTGTTATTCACAAGAACTGATAAACACTAACAGGTATGGTTAATAAATTGTTGTTTATCCCTAAGCGTTCATCTGCCTTGCTGAATTTCAAATCATGTAAAGACAAGACAGTCAAAAACACTGTAGTTGTTCAAATGCCCACTTTTGAACTGCTATGTCATTCAAAGTGGCACACACCAGCTGTGTCCCAGACCTGCACACTTCTTTCCATCACCATCACGAAATTCTGCAAGTGTGAACTTAAAATCTGCCAAAGACACTTGCATCACTAATACACCAATGCTTTCTGGGGTAGGCAAAGGCTCTCTCTAGGCTGCGAGACAAGGGACAAACTCTTTGGTGTTACTACTTTCCAGGTGGGTAGAAATGTAATAGCAGAATTTAGCCCAAGTGAGATGTGAAGCCTTAAACAAAGAAGACTAACAATAGGTTTTGCTGGACTTACTGCAGAGTTTTCTCCTCCTCTTCCTCTGCTGTGTATGAAGCCAAGTATTTAAGAAACCAAAAGGGGAGATCCAAAGCCCCATCCTCAAGTGCAGCTCGATACCACTGATCCCTCACAGAACACAAGCACAGGTCCTTAGGATACCGTTCCCTTCAGAAGGCTCATTCTCTGTCTGACGTGGCTGCAAAAAGGAATAAAACAAGGAGCTACTTTGGGATAACAGAATGGAGAGACACATGCATAGCATCATGTCACCTACACCAAGATGCTTTGTATCTCTTCTCTGAAGAAGAAAATCTATTTTTGACATCACAATTCCACTGGATTTTATGCTACTTTTACATGGGCAGATGCCAATAAACATTCAGAAGTTTTGCATTCTATCCTCTGAAACAGTTCTGGGTAACAGCACTGTCAGATCAAAACCAAGGTGTAGTTCTACACTGGCACAGTACCATGCAAGGGTGGTACTGCCATTTCCACCGTTACACATTTGTTTTAGGTAGAAACTTGTCAACAGAAATCTGCCCTCTTTTGCAGGCATAATATTCTCTTGGAATAAGGCAGGTAGTAGATGCAGCATTTCCTCATTTTCAAGGGTTATGTCACTAAGTAAAACTGGCAAAAGAATTTTGCAATCTACACAGAGCCAAATTGCTGAAATCAACCAGTTTTCACGTGCTGAGATGTCAGCAGCAGCAAACACCGTTGCAAAAGCACCAAGGTTATGTTCAGATTTGATGTTACTTGGATTTCCTCTAGCCGTGTGGCAATGTGAATATATATCCCAATCTTGTTCCATTAAATTAATTGAAAGCTAACTATTGTTTTGGAAAGATGGAATAAAGTAATTACTGCTGCCCCTAGAACAGCTCACCTAATCAGATGCTGCACAGCAAAAGCACTTAGCATTTTTCCAAGGATGGAGCTGTCACACCTGCAGGTGATGGCAGACTGCCAGCTGAAGCACCAAGTATCAGTTTTGATGTTTGGTAGTGTTACCTAGCTGTTTCTGAAATGTGTAAGTACCTCTTTGAACTTTCTACCTCTTGATTTTTATGTAAGGTTTCACAATCCTCCACTTTCCTGTTTCGTATTCTCTGCCATTGTGAGATCCCCTTCACGCTTGGACAGGAAAGCCTGACCTTATTCAATCCCAAGAGCATTTGGCAGCGTGCAGCACCATATTCAAATGTTTTAGGTGCTCAGAAATATCACACTTTAAAAACAACTAAAGTATAAGAGAACTGCACAAAGCAGTGCAAAGGAAAACCTGTGCAGTCAAAAGATCATTCTGCTGTGCCCGGCCTATTTATCAGCTGAGAGCTATGGTCATACAGCTGCTGGTCCTGGTTCTAGCACAGATATTTCTGCAATTAAACAACATAAGCACACCTCCCTCTGTAATACAATCTGTGCATGAAAGTGTTCCTTTAGGAAAGTCACTTGGGTTCTCCAGCAGTAAAGGGACATGAGCATCACTGTTGTGTGACACAGGACTCGTGAAGAAGCCTCTGAGTGGGATGGGTATTCAGGAAAAATTAGATAGTACCATCAGCTGTGTAGAAACCAGCACAGGGTCTCTAAAAGTAACACGGAAAAAAAGATTTCAACCTGAGCACTTGCTTTTTGAGGGGAAAAAAATCCCTTCAAATCCATTTTCTCAGGCTTACAGAAGGAACGGCATCAAGCCCAAAGGGCAATCTTTAATCTCATGCCTTTCTTGCTGTTGAGTAAGGTGTGCTCCAGGTGTCTTAAAGACAAGCTAACAGCTGCACACACATTTCTAGACCTGGTGCTGCACCTCTAGAACCACACTATTTCAGGCTCCTCGTGGCTTGCAGCATGCTAGCTGCTGCCTCCACTTCCCTCCTGCCTCCCTTGATGTGCTGCTTTAGAAGATGAGGCGTTGCAATGCCAGCCTGTTTCAATATCTCACCTACTTGTTCCCCATCCTCTGTTAGTACCTTTATCATTTCAAAACTCCAAGATAAAAGATAGCACTGTATGATGAAAGACCAACCCACTTGTCTCTGAGCAGAAGGTGGAAACATGAAATTCTGACTTGGCACATAATTCTAAGAGCTGCTCAACAACTTTCCACTCAGAAACTTCAACCTGTCAGGGTTTATCCAACCCCCTTTTCATTCCTCTAGGGCACAGCCTTCCCACTCCTAAGGACTGCTTCCTTTCACAACTCTCTAATGTTGCCCTTCTCACCAGCCCTGCCCCACAGCCGACCTCCAATTTCTCCTTACCTCCCTGCAGGCTGCAGGCTCTTGCGAGTAGGGACTGGTGAGTGTAAAGGGGAGAAGCAGAGGCATGGTTGAGTTCCTCTATCTTCTCAGGATAGAGGAATACTATTCAGAGACTTCCAAAAGCTTGTAATTGGAGATTGCACTCTTGGACTGTCTTCTGCAGTCCTGTAGCCCACCCAGAGAAACAGTATTGCTCTTGCCACTACCAGCCACAGCCCTTGTGCTGACTGTGTAAAGCCTCAGGGTTTGCTCGCCAGGTTGACTTCACCTGAACTTGACCTACCTGAAGCTTTGGGTTGCTTACTTTAGCTGCAAGAGCTGTTATTCTGAGCAGAAGGCTATATTTAATCTGTTTTAGTTCCACCTACTGTTGTGAGACACAGCCACAACTTTTACATAGACAATAGTTACAGATAGTTGGCCATCAGCCTTAGGGTTTAGAAGGGCAATGGAAGAGTAAGCAGTGCACTTAGAAGAGGGGTAGAAACTAGGAAATGGGTATGATTTCAACTACTAGTATCATTGTTATTACTGACATCATTAAATTCTTGGATTTTATGTTTAAGGTGTTCCCTTTAATGAAATCCTTAACAGAGGAGTGAGCATTGCACTTGCCCCGCAGACAAGACAACATCCAGCACCTTGATGGGCAGGCTGGGTGATGGCACTGCAAATTTAAGTGGAAGCACCCTGTGGACCCCCAAACTGAACATGAGTGGCTGAACGTGCCTTACCTTGGAAGCTTGAGTTTTCACAGGTCTGTGTATGGTGGCCAGTTCAAAGCCAGGCTCTGTCATGTTTGCGATCTATCCCTGAATTCAGCAATGGACTTGATGATACTCATTAGCATTTGTATAATGTATTTCAACCCTTGATGCCAGTGTTAAAAAGATAAATCAACCCAGGGACAAGATACAAAACTTTCAGTGGTTTACCATTTTCTGCTGAAATGACCTCATGACACCACTAAGTTTTTAAGCTTGCCTGACTTCAGCTTTCATTGAGAATCTGAAAATCTGGTGACCCATAGATAACCTCTTGGCTTCTTTCTCTGTCACGAGTTCCTTTCCTTCTCTTGAGTTGGAGGGGCACATCTTTCTCTCACCATCAGACCATGCTCCAGTAATTACTGGTGAGTACATCTCCCATCCTAATAGGTCATCCTCTTGCTTCTCACACTGATTCTCAAGCTCACAGCTAAATTGTTTTCACTTGTCACAGCACTCTGACAATTGCTTTTCCCAGCTGTAAGCTAAAATTCAGAACTTCTGGCCCTAAGTTTTCTAGGCTTTTTTCTAAGTCAGAGAAAATGTTCAGAGGTGTATAATTAACGAATATTAAGATGTTATAATCACAAAAAGAGCAAGAGAGTTAGGCAAAGTAGACTAAGATAATAAGGGAGAATAAATGGAAGCTTACCCATATGCTGGGCTCACC